TATATACATGTACACGTACATACGTGTGTACACGTGTATATGCGCTGTGTTTATTACACAAAAGAGATATACATACATGCATATAGGTAAACCTTATTTTAATTTATTTGATTTCCTTTTTTTAGCAGGAACGTAAAATACGACTCGACCAGAGCGCTTCACTCTACACCGTATCATTTTTAAGTTGACGATGGCTAGGAATAACATTTCCGGCTCAGAACGCTGTCACAAACTGGTGTGTAGGCTACACATCACGGGAGAGATCAATATTTTCTAGTACACTATATAGTGAAATATTCACATATGAGTGTATAGATACGTACGTATCGGATAGTTTGTACCCATGTGATCTGGAGCTATCATGTTGTATATACATAAAATTATAGGCAGCTGCGACTGCAAGACTGCAATCTCCCGGGCTCCCCCACAAATAAATAAATACATAATCTGAGAAAATAGAACAAAAGGTAAAATGTTCTTAGGTCTCTTGGGTAAAAATAAAATAATAAATAGAAACCTCAAGTCCGCAACCTCCGTCGAAATGAAATAGTTCTGTTTTATTTTTTTTTAGTAGGCCACATTATGATATTATGATTATGTCCAGTGTCCGACTGTCCAGTTCAAGAGACCTAAGACAGTCCAGTTAGTCCGCCTGAAGAAAAATCTGACAATTTATGACGCATTCAAAAAAAACAAAAAAACAATGTAAATACAAAGTATGTCATGGCCCTCAGTCTTCTGGATCGGGGATCTCCGCGGAAAACATGCATTTTTTAAAGTCCATAAGGGAAATTCAGCACGGCAGCAGAGGGCCATGAACATGTTCAAATATATATAAAACTTTAAACAGCGTTCACTCTTCTCATCTCATGCAGTGAATATGTCTGAATTGAGACAAAGAAAGCAGGGGGTGGGGTCACCCGCACCCGATCTGGACGTCAAATTATTGAACAATTCATATGATAGTAAAAAGATACACAACGATGAGGACATTACAGATCTGGACGGCACAGACTGGTTGATTGCGGCAGCGTTCACTGTGTTAGGAATGCTGACTAGGTTCTACCGCATCGCTGAGCCGCCTGAAATTGTTTTCGATGAGGTTTGTGGTTGTGTTTATGGGATTTTTATTTATTCTTGTCATTGTTTATGACCTAGTTATTAGATATTATAAGACACAGTCGACGGTCCGACAAAAACAATGTAGTAGATAAGCAACTGGGACACGCCAGCTAATATATGCTACTATTTATATTCAGGGTTATACATCAAATCACACTTTCACTGTAGTCTAGAAGCTTTTTTTGCACAGCTTGGTGATGTATATAGAAATCAATTTATATGGTTGCACGACCACCAATTTGCTCGCATGTGTACTTATTACATACATACATACATACATATATGTATATATGCATACATACATACATACACAAAACATACATACATATTTGCATACATACATACATACATACATATATATATATATACATACATACATACATACATACATACATATATACATACACACGTACATACATACATACATTCTGAACCACATTCGTACTTAATATGTATACACACACAATAACACACACAT